AAAGGCCAAGGTTCTAAGTTTAATACCCAGTACAAAAAAAAAAAAAAAGTCTGGGGAACTCTACCATTAGGAGAGGACCGGGGCGGGGGAGATGGCTCAGTGGAATAAGCACCTCCCTGGCAAGCACAGGGGCCTGAGTTCAATCCCCGGTTCAAAAAAAAAAAAAAAAAGGAGAGGACGACTAAGTATATTTTCATGAACATCTCTTTAGTCTCTATTAAATCACTAACATTATTTACAGATTGAGCAACCTACATATAATTATTTCACACATTTGGTATCGTTCAACATAAAATAGGGCGGCTTCGAGTAGATTTCCCACAGTTCCACGCGGCTCTGGTCCTTCTGCCACACCAACCATAGAAAGAGATTAGCCATGGCCCTCTGCTATCCCATGACTGCGGGCCTCAACAAGGGCCACAAAGTGACTAAGAATGTGAGCAAACCGAGGCTCAGCTGCTGCCGTGGACGTCTCACCAAACACACCAAGTTTGTGCAGGACATGATTTGGGAGGTGTGCCACTTCGCCCCCTACAAGCAACGCACCATGGAGCTGTTCAGCGTCTCCAAGGACAAGCGGGCCCTCAAGTTCATCAAGAAAAGGGTGGGGACGCACATCCACACCAAGAGGAAGCGTGAGGAGCTGAGCAACGTGCTGGCCACCATGAGAAAGGCAGTTGCCAAGAGGGACTGAACACCTCTGGAACAAAGCTTTGCAAAAAGTTTAAAAAATAATAAAATAAAATAGGGCTGGCAAGATAGCTCAGCAGACTAAGCACCTGCTTTGGCAAGTGCAGGGACCAGAAATCGATCCCAGGTGTTACATACCATGCCTGCCATGCCTGCCACACCTGCCACGCCAGCCAAGACCAGTCCAGGCAATGGTGCATACCTATAACCCCTGGGCATGCCTGTAATCCCACTGCTGGTGAAGCTGAAAACAGGAAACTCACCACAAGTCTGGGCTGCATAGTGAGTCCCGGAACTAAATACAAAACGAAAAAAAAAAAGAAAAAAGGCATCTTTTCATATATATGTAAGTACCATAATTGTCTGAACCACACCACCAGGTATATACTTAATATTTCCAAATTTGGTGTGATTATAAATTTAATTAATTTCTCTGGTACATCTTTCTGTACTTGTCCAAATATCTACATATAGATATAAAATGGTAGAACAAGATGCTATGTACACAACAAAAACCAGTTGGCTTACAAGACCATGCAGACACACTGGAGGCTGAGCCAGGCAGTGTGAACTTAGCAATGGCAACTTAAGATCCTGCCCCAAAACTTAAAATTTTGGGGGGTGTGAGGTAGCGTCTTACTTTGTAGCAAAAGCTGGCCTTGGAACTCACAGTAATCTTCCTGACTCAATTTCTCAAGAGCTGGGATTATAGGCATGTACCACCACACCCAATTTTAAAACGCTTTTAAAAGGCTGGGTAGCTAGGCACATTGTAAATGCTGGTGGTCCCAGCACTGAGGAAGCTGAGGCAAGAGGATCACTCTGAGTTCCAGGCCCAACCTGGGATACACAGTGAATTTAAACAAAATGGGAGATTTGGGCGTGGCAAAGCCCTAACTGATTTGATCTATTAATTATAAAGATTTCAGCAAACATGCACAGCACAGTTCCCAAAGCCCTGCACCTTGACTTCTCTAGAGAGCTTGAGCAGGTTTTCAATAGTACAGCTTAGACCTGGTATCAGCCAGAGGTGTGGGTCTCTCACAATTCGTACGTTGATTAGGACAGCATATAAAGACACACCAAGGCCAAGAACTATAACAGTTTTTCTCACCATAGCCCACTCCGCTTTCTCCACTTTTATTGCTTTTTCCTCTAGCTCCCTCTGCACAGCCAATTTCTCTTCCAATCTACACTTTTATTTTATCAAATTTGAGGACTGTTTTTTACTCATTTTGTTCAGTTCTTTGTTCCAGAAGAGAAGAATCTCCTAACTCCAGAGAGAGAGATGAGCAATCTAGAGCCTACTAAGGTTTAGGTGACAAAGCCACCTGGTAACACAAGGACAGCCTGAACCTCATAGTGATTTCCTATGCTATGTCCCCTCCCCACAATAAATACTCAGTGGATACACATATTTTCAGGAGACAATAAAAGGCTTGCTCTAGTTTTTTTTGTGTTTTGTATACATGTACAAAATAAGGAGAAAATACTGATCCTTTATAATTATGGCCAAAAAAAACCCTAAAATTGGATTCCACTGAAAACGATGGCATACCAACAGTCAAAAGTTGCTTTCTCAAAAAAGCAGCTATTCACATTTCAATCACCATCAAGTTTTTATAATTAAAATAAATTATTACAATGCTGTTTTACTAAAGGAAGTGTGTGGGGAAAGTTATTAATTAAGACAAGAGTCTCTCTGTGCCAGGGAGATAGCTCAGTCCAATAAGTGCTTCCCTGGAAAGCACAGGGGCCTGAGTTCAATCCCCAGTTCCGCAAAAAAAAAAAAAAAAGACAGTCTCTCTATGGACTTCTGACTGGCCTTGAATTTATTATGTGGCCCAGTCTGGCCTCAAACTCAGAACTATCCTCCTGCCTCAGCTTTACAAATGCTGGGTTGTAGCCATGTGCTACCACCCTCAACAAAAGGAAGTTTTTAAAAGTCCAGGAATAACCTCTTAAATAAAAAGATACATGATAAAACAAATAAAATCTAAGAAAAAAGCAATTCCTATCAAACAAGTATAAATAGAAAATGTACACAAATAATAGATCACCTGTGAGCAGAAAAGAGTTAAAAGGACATGTGACTGCTCTCCCACTGACCTACCTCATAAGGCTGGCTTTCTGTGTTTGAGTTATTAGCACAATGTGCTAAACCTCTGAGACTGTTTCCTCTTAGAACCCTGAATTTCTGGTAAGCTTCATGGCTAACAAAAAATACATGCAGGGGCTGGGGAGATAGCTCAGTTGAATAAGTGCCTGCCTGGCAAGCACCAGGGCCTGAGTTCAATCCCCGGCTCCACAAAAAAAAACAAAGAAATACATGCATTCAGGGCAGGAGAGATGGCTCAGTAGAATAAGTGCTTCCCTGGCAAGCATAAGGGCTTGAGTTCAATCCCTAGTTCCAGGAAAGAAAGAAATTCATGCATTCAGATGAATTTTCCTAGTACAAGAGACAGCCATGTCTGTTGTCTCACCTTCTTGTTGGATGATTGAAGGATACTGAATGACTCCACTGGAAAATGACTCTTGGAGACTGCACTAGCCTCAACCAGACCATAGCCATACAACTTTTACTGATACTGCTCCGTCCTTTCATGTAATAAATCTTAAAGGAAGTGCTATGTAGATGCTGAGACCTAGGCTGGTGAGATGGCTCAGTGGTCTAAAGCACCTATTTGGAACAAGCTTAACTAAAGCACAGGGACTGCGGTTCAATCCCCCAGCACCACATGCCAGACAGCCCCGCCCTCTGGTGGGCTGAGCTGGCCACACACACACACACACACACAAATAAATAAATAAATAAATAAAGATGCTGAAACTTGCTTAGGCACTACAGTGACCCACCAAACTTAGAAGTAGTCATACAGGAAGCTACCCACCCCACTCCATTATCACTTGTAAACAAACTAAGCAAATACAACTGTTACTTAGGTTTTCACACTATTCATTTGAATTTTTCTAACCATTTTATTATTAACACAATACTTGGAATTGCCAGGACCAAAGCAAAAGACATCATAAGAAACAAGCTCAGGGGGCTGGTGAGATGGCTCAGTGGTCTAAAGCACCTACTTAGAACAAGCTTAGCAAAGCACAGGGACCGCGGTTCAATCTCCCAGCACCACATGTCAGCCAGCCCTGCCCCCTGGTGGGCTGAGCTGGCCACACACACACACACAATAAATAAATAAATAAATAAATAAATATTTTTAAAAAAAAGAAAGAAACAAGCTCAGGAACAAACAAGCAGAGCTGGGGCTAAACCTCAGTGGTACAGCTACACAAACTCAGAAAAGTGCAGCATCTCTGTATAGGAGAAAGCCCTGTTATAACAAATGACAGTAATTTTAGTTTTGCTTTTATTAATATTAAGATATAACTGACATGCCATAAAATTCACCCTTGTAAATGTACAAATCACTGGTATTTCTTATGTAAAGCCATCAAAAAAATCTAATTACAGAACAGGTGTTTCATATTTTCAATGTACAAGAAAGAAGTCCAAAATGCATTAGCAACTAATTCTCTAATTTTCCTAACCTAAACCTCTGAAACCACTAGTACACTTTTCATCTCTGTTACTTTCTTTTTTAAAAAAAAAGACACCAGGTGTTCTGGCAAATATCTGAGGCTGGCAGGAGGACTAAGGTAGGAGGACTGTTGTTAAGTTCAAGACTAGCCTGGGCTACAAAGTGAGCTCAAGGCCAGCCTAAACTGTATAGCAAAACCATATCTCAAAAGACAAAGTGAATTTTTTTTCTTTACTTTCTTTTATTATTAAAAGTCTTTGCATTGAGATACACAGCCAATGATACCAGGTTTCTTTTTAAAGCTTAGTATTAAAATATTAAATCTTTCCCCATTTTATTTTTATATTACTCTACCAAAGACAAAGTTAATTAATTAAACAACATACTAAAATGCAATAAAACAGAGCTGGGGAGATAGCTCAGTAGAATAAGCACTTGCCTGAAATGCAAGAAAACAAGCCAGGTGTATTGGTATGTATCTGTAATCCCAGAACTTGGAAGGCTGAGGCAGGAAGATTGCCATGAACAAGGCCAGCCTGAAATAGGAAGCAAGAACCTATCTCTAAATAAATAAATGGGTGGGGGTGTTTTAGGAAATAATTATCTTTCCTCTAAAACAGTAAAAATGACAGAAGCAGCCAGGTGTGTACACAGCCTGAGGCAGCCAGGTAACACACATCTATAATCCCAGCATACTGAGACTAAGCCAGAAAGAGCTTGTGCAATTTAACAACCTAGCAGAATTCTATCT